TCACCTTGCAGTAGGGTAAAAAAAAAAATTTAGTGACTCCAAGTCTTAACCTTCTGTGGACTTGAAATGCACAAATTCCAGCGCTTACCATGCTGTCATTAGTCTTTGCTGACACTCTGACTACTAAGTTTTCTGCTGACAGAAGACTTGGTTTTTGGAGCATGAAAGGCTCCTTTTAGTCTGACAGATTCCTGACTCTCTTCATTGGCATTTTGTCCCCCTTCCAGAACTAAATCAAGCTGGACACACGTGCCTAGGCCTCAGCAATTATTCCACCAGGCAACTCCAATAAAAGAAGACCCCTGAGACATGGCAAACACCAAATCATCACTCTAACCTGACTCCCAGGACAATGGGACACTGCACGCTCCAATAGGAGAAGCCACTGTTTCACCTTTGCTGTTGCCAGCCTGGAGAACAGAAAATGCCCAGGGGCTTATTCTGCAAGTCTCTGACATCGTGCCCCATCATAGAAAAATAATTGAGGAGGGGGAGTTTTTCTACAGATGTACAGAGTTTTAGATATCTGCCCTCATCATTTGGCCCTTAAAAGCATAGATAAATACATCAGCCATTAAAATAGAGATTCAGAATGTCTGCAACTCTCAATCCAAATGTCACCTGCAAACCACTTCAGTAAAGAAATTCTAAAGCTACTCCCACCCCTATAAATTGATCTATTTGTGTTCAGAAATATTCTTGATAATAAAAGGGAACTGTTTGTATCCTGGGCTTCATATGAGCCCCCAAACTTTGTCTCCCCCAAACTTTCATGTTACCTTTCCCTTCCCTAGAAAAATCTCTCTTGCCCTACAAGAAATCTCAATCTTGGCTTCCTGGAGTATCACTTCCTTCTGAATTATGCTTGGGGAAATAAAAAATCAAATGTCCTTTTGTACCCTGCAAAGCAACTGCAGGCCCTATAATTATTTTTCCCTCACTTATGTAATTTATACATTGGCTTTCAGTGAAATACACCTCCAACAAATTTGCTTTGTATTTGGAAGACAGCGTCTTCAGCTCTGACCTTGCTCCTTATAAATAAGGAAGCTGAATTCCCCATCCATGAGAGAACAAATCATATTGTCCTCTGGATAAATGAGTCAGTCATTTATGTGTGGTAAAGATGACTTTTCCTTTGGAAAATCAGCTGCAGAGTAGTTTCCAGCATCTGCATAGTAAATTGAAAAGTTTTTTTCTTTAATTTTCCTCTGGAAGAGGGCCAGCTCTCTTCCACATTCTGTTGAATAGCAACAAAATATATTAACAATAGCAGTCAGTTCCCAGAAGCCAACTCTATCTTAAATCTTTTTAGCATATAGCTAAACCAGGGGAACTTGGAGGGCCAAACAGAACTGATTAGGAAAACGCTAACCAAAAGTCAGGCTACAATGCTTCTTGAGGAATGTAATCATGTGCCCATTTTACAGGGTGCTGGAGCTGTCAAATAGGGCTGGGGGAGACTCCTACACTGGACCTAGAGCACATCTTCCAAGGAAGACAAAAAGAGGACCCTGTGTCTGATCACCACCCGGGACCCATGGCTCACATATCTCACTCACTTACTGCTCACACACTCTGGAAAGGTTTGTATTATTACCTTCACTGTTCACAGAAGGAAGGTGGAGTATGTGTGATTAAGGCCCTTGTTAAAAAAATCATACAGCGAGAAAGTGACCTAAGGAGGACTCATGTCTGTGGCCATTGAGCTTCTGCCCTTCATTTGCCTTGCTCGTATCTCTCAGAGAACAGTCTTTCTGAAAAAGATCTAGGACCTCACACACAAGACTTCTTACTGGAGAATAGGAACTGGGTTAAATGCCCATTCTCACTGATATGGCTCTTAAAGGGAAACAAGGAGTCTTGAAGTTATTTTCACAGAACTTATTTCACCTGGTCTTTGAGCAGTGAGTTTCAGAATGTGTTCAACTTTCGGTCCCTACGCTGAGATGCAGGCATACACTGACCTTGCTGTTCAGACAGGCCGTGAAGCAAGGACCCTCCTGCTCAAAAGATATGTAATCACAACAGTGATAGCCATCATTTGTTTAATGGTTTCCAGGCACCAGGTGCCATCCCAAACACTTCTCAAATATTATCTCATTTAATTCTCAAAACAACTCTATCAGAAGACTATCATTATTCAGAGATAAAGTGGTAGAGTATGTCTTTCTGATCACTTCCTGCCCTCTGTCTCTCTTCATCCTTTCTTCTGGAAGGAAGGTGGCCAAAGGCATATATATATATATATATAGACACAAAATTATGCTTACGAAGTGAGCTCTCTTGGAGAGATAGATGCTACCACATAGAGGTTCCACTTGAAGAATGTGCAGAGCCTCGTGAGATGTGAGCAGGAAAAGAGATAGAAGTAGACCAAGGAAGGGATGTTTATTGATTCAGTGTTACAATCAAGGTAAGCAATTGGGGCACTCTCCAAGGACAAAACATGGTCTAAGAGAAAGAGTAAAGAAATGTCTGGCACCTTCCTTTGGGTTCTGCAATATTGTGTAGGATCAAGTTCTTTCTGGTGCTATACTGAGTCTGCATATACCCATTTCAAAGGAAAAGAAACTAAGGTTCAGGAAAGTAAAGTCGTGTATTCAATCACCCTATTATACACTGCAGCAACAGGTCTCAGATTTGATCCAAAGGCCATGCTTCTTCATCCTGATATGAACAGCATGACTAAGTCTAGAATGAGCTTCGGTACAAAGCAAGATTACAAATTAAAAACAGAAACAATTTCATTTTGAACCCTCTGGGTGGTATAGTCACATTGGAAGTTGTGAACATTTGCTATTTTATTCAAGTCCAAAAAGTGAATGTATGATTCAGAAACTGGACACAACCTAAGCAATAGATAATGGGTCACTCTACTTTTAATATCAGTTGTTTATTCTTTTGTAGGTTTTAATGATTTGATCTTATTTCTAAGACTATAGTATATATAATGGTTCTGATATGAAAATATTCTTTGAGTCTAAAAGCATTTAAAAATTCAAAATTGCAAGGAAGGTAAAAATTCATAACTGAGGTCAAATAGGATGCTTCAACAGTTGATTTCACAGAATTTTATTTCAGGTCATGTTTCAATTGCTTTTCTCTTGGTGAGACAAAATACCTGAGACCCAAAGTTAAAGGGGAAAAGGTTTATTTGGCTTACAGTTTCAGACCATAATCAGCTGATTCCAATGCAGGGTGGATGGCAGACAGGCAGCACAGGGGAAAAATAGTTCATGGTAGCCAGAAGGTAGCAAAGCAAGCAAGTAAGGGATGACCACAGCTCTTTCTATTCCTTTTATCTTATCCAGGGTAGCACTCACATCCTTAATCCTAGCAGCCTTGGTCCTAGAATTGCACCATGAATCAATGACAGCGTCACACACTCTAGATCCAACCACCTCTGAAAAGCCCTGCCTATGACCTCATGAGGCTTTGGTGGAATGTCTAGGCACAGCCATAACAGGTCATATATATTGAGCCATTTCCTTTGAAATTACAGGGAAAACATAGAACCTAAACATCTGCATTACTGTTAGTCTTTCAAACATGTTTAATAAGATTCAGAGGCAAATACAATTAATAGCTAAAACTTGGGGGGAAATATAAAATTTGGTTTAGAATGACAGAGAAGTCCTGGGTACAAACTGATACCTACAGGTAAAAATTTAGTTGGCTACATATGAGCTCTACTAGGTGATGAACTAGAACTACAAGATTGGCAAAGACAGATTTTTTAAGTGAAAGATTTTTCGAAATTCAGGAAATAATAAGGGAAAAGAGTGCTGTAGAACCAGCCTTTATGGAGAGTCACAAATAGGACAAGAGTAGTACTTATGCCTAGAACCCTGAGAACTAAACAAAATTATTTCTTCAGGCCTCTTCTTGCTTTATGATTCTTCAGGTTTAATTATATTTGATGGGTAACATGTCAGCAGAAAACTCCAGAGTCAAACAGATGTTAGTCTGAATTAAACACATGACCATTGACCAGTCATTTGAAATTGTCTATAAGAAGTTTAGAAAGTTCCAGAACATTCTGACCTTTACAAGGAAAAAACTTAATGTTCCATTAAAACAATGACAACCAAGAGAAAATTCCTTACTGATTACAGAAATTGCTAAAACTACCATGTCTTCATCTAAATGTTCTCTGGGCTGTCTATCTGGAGTTTGCCCTGAGCTCACTATACTTCAATTCTTCAGCAACAATTTTTCCTAAGTCAGCTTCCCACTGCAGGCATTCAGATGAGTCCCTGGGATTTTATCAAGGTAGAAGATAAACATAGCTGGACTTCAGTAAAACTTCTGTTAATGTGTGTTTTGTGGTCCCCACATTAGTTAGCTGGTTTATTCTTCAAACTGCTGTGCTTGTTGTATATTAAATTTTGAAAATGAGGGCAGTTCTTAGTACAGGATCTCATTTTCTTATTTCAAGATACAATGCATTTTGGTATTATAATTATTTTGGTGAATAATAGTTACTATTATTAACCTACAGCAAAACTTTCTCCTTTCCTTGTGCCTATTGCATCCTGTATTCCTCTGCCTCATCATTTACCACGGCATATCAAAATCATCTCTGTGTTTGTGTCTCCCACTAAACTGTCTGAGGGTAGATACCCTGTCTTGGTTATATCAATCTTGTTATCTTTTGCTCCCTGACAGATCATTAGATGTTATCAATCAGTGTTGTTCATAAGAGAAGCTGTAAAGTGTGACAAGAATAAATACTGGAACCAAATTATCCAAGGTTAAATCCTAGCTCCACCCCTGTGGGAGTTCAAGCAAGCTCAATGGCTCAGTGTCCTGCTCTCTGGAACAGGGATAATAATGCACAGCTTGCAGGGCTGTTGTTGTCAATGGAAGGTCGAATAAAGACCAGAGCTGCTTAGTCCAAGTGCCAAGCCTCAAACGAGCTTAGGCACATGGAGACTTAGGACCAAGCCACCGCTACAGTTTTAGCTACCCTGTGGAGTGGGCACAGGCAGCCTCACCTTATGGAACTGTGGAGGGTATATTCGGACGGCCCCGTGGTTCAGCAGCAGCTGGTAGCAGATCTCTGGCTGGGCGGCAGGTCTCACGGAGGTGACCTTGAGCACATACTGTATGGCAGCGCAGCCATTGATATCCATGAGGTTGGCTTCCGCGCCGGCCTCCAGCATCATGTGCATGAGCACATGGTCACAGTTCCAGGCCGCCTTGTGCAGGGGAGACTTAAAGTCATCATCACGGGCGTTGACCTCGGCCTTGTAGTCCAACAGCATGCGGCAGATGAGGTGATGCTCCGGGCTATACTCCTGCTCTTTAAAGCGAAGCGCCCAGTAGGTGGCAATGGCCAATGGAGTCTCCATGTGGGCGTTCACGCTATCCACGGTGGCCCCGTGTTCCACGTAGAAGGCCACTAGCTCCGAGAGCCCAAAGTGGGCCGCCGTGTGCAAGGGCGTCTCCTCGTCCTGATTGTTGGTCTTCATGTTCACGTTCGCCCCTATAAAGGGAAATTGAGGCAGACAATTACTTTGGGTTCTTCCCAAGATCTGTTAAGCAGAACTTTCCCCGCGGACTCTCTTTTAACCTCTGATTGCCTCACACTCGTTTCCACCTCCTCTCCCCAGTCCCATTTAGGGTCCTGGTAGAAGTCGCTCCTTTAAAACAACAGCGCCACCTCCTGGGGCAGCCAACAATGCATCCCAGGAAGAGGAACAGAGGGTTCCTGCCCAAAGGCAGGTGCGTTACTGCTGAATTCCACTTCTGCACTCCCAGGTGCATTCCGATACACCACGTGATTTCTGAAACTAAAAAGCTTTTATCAATAAGATAGCAAACACAATTAAAAATAAATATATCTAAAACTTTGAGTCTCATACAAGCGGCTTTAAAATATCAGTGGTTTTGAGTGTTTCACAGATAATGCTTTTCTTCTCTCTCAAAGCAAATGAACCTGAAGTTTGATGTGGGTGAACTTCAGCGCCATTGAAAGTGCCAGGCTTTGACCGAAATCACAGTATTAGAGGTATCTGAGTCTGTGAAGCTTCTGTGGAATACAGCAAACACACACACACACACACGCACACACACACACTCACACACGCCCACACCGCATCTCTAGCCACCAACTAGCCAAAAGGTCATCTTTTGCATTGAAAAGGGCAGAAACTAGTATACTAGAAATACTCGTTGAAACGAAGAAAATAATTCAGAAACTGTAACATATTTGACTTATGGGTAACAAAGGATATTAGAAATACAATTGTGTGTGTGTGTGTGTTTGGACAGCATTTTAGAAATTATTTAATCCAACCCAATCATTTAACAGACCAGGAAACTAAAGTGAGTTTTATTCTGATGAAGGATTTTAAGTTTAGAGTGATCAACTGAAGAAGCTGAAATTTTCCTTCTCTTGTCTAATTTAATAAGTTGAACCAAATGACTCCTAGGGTTTGACTATATTCAATTCTACTAGAAATTTGTATAGCTACATCAAGTATAATTCTCAAAATATTATTATCATTATTCCAATACCTATATTTATTTAGCACTTAACCATGTGTAACATTCTAAGCTAAATTATTTTCATTATATGGCCTCTCTGAATCTTTCTAGCAACTCTTTGCACTACGTGCAGCGTTACCCTAATTTTACAGATGAAGAAATTTGTACTGAGCAAACAATTTGCTCAAAGTATCCTGAGCTAGTAAGCAGCCTTAGAACCAAGATTTGAAAGCAGACAGTCTGGCTGCTTTCAAAATCCTTTATTACTGTGATATTCTGCCTCACGATTAGTCTTTTGCAAGAAAATTTTGTGTACATTACCTTTGTTTGTTATAGGAAAGCTAAAGAGCAGAGAAATAATGTTGTATTTTAAGTTTAAAGAATCTATTCTTCATGGATTGCTCCTCTATACCCTTATTTGTGGCATTCCTCTTCCCATATGAACATATTTGAAAAGGTCTTGTTGCCAGGAGTGTGGTCAGGATCCTGTACAAAACCAACCTCCAGTGAGGTTTTCAAGAGCACCCTGCCCTGCACACTCTGAGGCTGCCTCTACTTGTGACTTGCAGAAAGCCAAGCTGTAACCAAAGCCCGTCTTTCACCGAGACTCTGTGATCATTAGTATTCTGCCCTGAAAAGTTCTGGGCTAGGTCTCCTTTCAGGTCAGGTCTTTGCCAGGTAGTGAAATGGAATGAATAAGACGGTCTTCCCAGAAGCAGTGTGCGGGGTGCTTCAGACACTGGAGAATTTCCAGCAAGAAAAGCATCAAAGGATAAGGATGAAATTTTTGCAGGCCAGCTTGGAACAAACCACAGTCTTGCTTTTTTTTTTTTTAATACACTTGGACATATACAATTGTTCCTTGACCTCTTGGTACAATGAGATATGCAGGATAGTTGCCTTTTCTGAATAGGAGCTCCTTGTTCTTATGCTTGAATTGTGTCTTTGAGAGTAACTTTTCAGGACATATACTACAAAATGAGATGATTTGACTGTATTTTTATTTTAGCTTTTGTGATTTACTCAAGAAATTAGGCCAGCAATTTAAATTTTGGGGAACTTTTGCAAATATTTTAATGTAAAAATACAATATATTCTTTGCCAACAGATGCCATAATAGTGCCATACTGGACAACTTAAAACAACTGAAATTTATCCTCCCATAACTCTGGAGACAAGAAATCTGAAAGTAAGGTCTTGGCAGAGTTTGTCCTTTCTGAGGGCTGAGAAGAAAATCTCTGTGTGTATATATATTTTTTTCCAGCACTGGGTATTGAACTAAGGGCCTTCACACTAAGCTACATCCCTGGCCCTTTATTGTTATTATTAGTGTGAGGCAAGTTCTCTCTAAGCCAGTAGGTTTCCCAGGTCACCAACCTGTGCTCAGACGTGATCTTCCTACCTAACGTCCCAGTGTTGGGAATGAACACATACTCTTTACAATTTTCTTCTTCCATTCACAAAATTATGTTGTTGAAAACAATTGTTTTGTGCTGTGTAGCACTCATTTATTTATTTTATCGTGTTCTGTCTCTTAGTATAATAATTCACAATCTACCCATTCTGCTGAGATGGACATTTTCACCTTCAGGCTATTCTCAACACTGCCGCCAGCAGCATTCTTGTGTGTTCTTGGACTTCAGTGTTCCTGTGTGGTGGTTTCTCTGGGTTCCATACCTGTGAACACAATGGCTGGGTCACTGTGTGTGCATGTCTTCCCCTTTGCTAGATGGTGTCAGACAGACAAGTGTACCAGTTTAAGCTCTGGCCAGCCATGTGCATGTGCGAGGTTTCTCTTTGAGCCACATCCCTGATATTATAAATTCATTCAATTTTAGCCAATCTGGTAGATGCATAGTGATATCTCATCATTTCTCTACTTACAAGACAAGCTAGAAATATTTTACTATTTGTATTTTTATGTGCTAGTGTAAGCCTTTCTATTTTTTTTTACTTTAAACATCACTTTAAAGTAACTACATAATATTCCATAGAATAAGTGTACCCTACTATTGAATGACCAAGTTACTTACAAATTTTTTATTTTATAATTAGTGCTACCATTAATGACTTTATATAAATTTTAGCATTATTTCCTTTGAACAAATTCCCCCAGACAGAATTATTATGCTGAAACATCTGAATTGTGTTAAAGAGGTTCTGAATGGTAGCACAAAATCTTATTCATTTCTCTCCTGTGGATGTGTCAGAGTAGCCACTTCACTAACAGTATATTATTATGCTTTTGGAACAACTCTATTTAATTGGAAAAGAAAAAAATGGTTTCTTTTTAAAAAAAATTTGAATTCATTTGCTTAGGAGAGTTTGAATACTTTCTTTGTAATAATTTACTAGTAGTATTTCCTCTTTGGTTAATTGTCCAAATATTCATCTATTTATATATTGAATCCTTTCTGTTTAATTTGTATTTGTTTGAGCTCTTATTTAAATTAAGAATTATTAAGAATTAAATTTATGCTACTATAATGTTGTGCATTTTTTTTCCAGTACCAGGGATTGAACTCAGGACCTTGCACTTGCAAGGCAGGCATGCTGCCACTGAGCTAAATCCCCAGTCCCTGTAATGTTGTGCATTTTAACCATCTTATTTGGATTTTTTCTAAATACAGTGATGATGACTTTACATAATCAATTTTCCTTCTTTTTTTTACTGTATATTAGAATGTCCTACTTCTCTCAAAGCCAGCATACCTAGCTAGATTAGTTATAATCTAATTTTAATGGATTCTTTTAAATGTATAACAGTTGATTTATCTGGACCTTATTCTGATATACACAACAATTTGGAAAGAATTGACATGCTTATACTGTGGACTCCTTTCATGCAGAAATAGTCTGTTTCTTTAAGAGGTTTCTTCTGTATTCCTATAAAATATGTGCATATCCCCTAACAAGTTTGAAGCAATTTCCATTGTAGGTGAGCAGGGTATATTACTGTGGAATAATGTAACTTTTCATGACAGGAAGCCCTTTATGAACCTTAGAGTTGACATGAAGCTATTTTTAGAAGGATTCTGGACTGGCAGATAATGAGGCAATAAACATTACCCAGCACAGTGACTCATGCCTGTAATCCCAGGTGCTCAGGAGGCTGAAGCAGGAGGATCAAGAGTTAAAGAGCATCTTCAGCAATGTTGCAAAACCTTTTCTCAAAATAAAATATTTAAAGACCTTGGCATTAAGGAAATACAGATCAAAACCACATTAATATGCCATCTCACCCCAGTCAGAATGGTTACCCCCAAGTATACAAAAATTAGTAATGCTGGTGAGAAAAATAGGGGAAAGGAACACTTATACACTGCTGGTGGGAATGTATATTAGTACATGTACTATGGAAATCAATATGGAAGTTATTCAAAAAACTGAAAATAGAAATACCATATGACCCAGCCCCACCACTTCTTGCTATATCCATAATGGAATCAGTCCATATATTATACGGATACCTGCATGCCCGTGCTTACTGTGGCACAATTCACAACAGCCAAGATATGGAAATAGCCTAGGTGTCCATAAATGGATAAAAAAGGTGGTGTGTACACAACAGAGTATTATTCAGCTATAAAGAAGAGCAAAATTATGTCATTTACAAGAAAGTGGATGGAGCTAGAGATGATCAGTGAAATAAGCCAAACTTAGAAAAGTGCCGCATATTTTCCTTGACATGTATAATCTCTTTTAAAAAGACAGCTTTAAAGTAAAAGGTAGACTATTATTAAACTAGAGAAAGGGACCAAGAGTAGGAGGAAAGAGATGTAGGGTGGATGGCGGTGGGATGTGGATATGATCTAAATATGTTATATGCATGCATGAAAATACTACACTGAAACCCAATATTTTGTAAAATTATTAGGAACTAATAAGAAAGTGGGGGTGGGGGATATAACTCAGCACTTCCTGGGTTCATTCCCCCATCCTGAAAAATCTTTTTAAAATTTGCTTTGTATGATAAAGAACAAGACATTTTCAGAT